TATATTTTGATTAAATATACTTATTAATGATATTTATATTTAATTATATTTATATTTAATTAAAATATAAAAATTAAAAAGGTTAAAAAAATTAATTAATCACTTGTGTGTGTGCGTGTGTGCGTGTACGTGCATGCGTGCGTGCGTGTGCGCGCGCGCGCGCGCGCGCGTGTGTGTGTATTGTATCGAATTATCAATTAAATAGGATAAAACAAACCAATTATCAATATTTATGATTGAAAATATTTAGAAATTAAGAAAATTTATAATACAAAAAATAAGAATATTAATAGACAGAATATTTTTCTGCATTTTGGAATAGAAATGTTGTCCTTAATTAAATGTCTCTTAATGATTTTGATTATTTCTTTTTATCTTAAATTAATATATATTTCAATCTTTAATGATTGATATTAATGCATGCAAAAATTTAATATGACTGAAGTTTATCTATGTTGTTTAATTTTGAAAATTAGTTCATTTGAGTATACATAATAAAAATCAATACTAAATTTTCAAAATGAAATGACAATTTAGATACGTATTTCGACTTTACTTAGTTATTTTCAGGTAAAATTAAATATTAAAATAGAAAAAAAATAAAAAGATCAGAAATAAAAATTTTATTAAATACACTGTTAAATCTATAGTATCAATTTAATCTAATGTGAGTCGTCACTGTTCCTACTAGACATATTATTTTATATAAATATAATATAATTAAATTTGACATTACGCTGTGACTACGAGCTTTCTTTATATGTAAATGAACAAAATTAAAAGTAATATATGATTTAACTGAAAATTAAATTACAATAGTTATTTGAATGTAATGAACGTATATACATTAAATTTTATAAATTTATTAAAAATACATTAAAAGTATATTAAATTTCATGTACATGTATACAATATACTTTTTAGTTATAATTAAATTAAATTTAATGTAATGTCATGAAATTAAGTTCAAATTGTGTAACTTAACCCTTATTTTACTAGACATAATTTGATGCCTCATACTAATGGGGGCACTAAAATTTGTCCGTTTTCTTCACCTATTCAGAATAATTTTAAAAATCTCTAAAAATTTATTAACATACTTTCAACTTTCTAGAATAAATATTGGCACTTCATTTTGGAAAATAATAAAATGTAGTATAATTTATATAATTATTGAAAGACGCAAAGAAACTTGCACAAACAAGAATCGGTAACTAGTGATCTCCTTTAGTAGGGTAAAGGTTAAAAGTAAAATTAAATTTCATGAAATTTGTAATAGTGTATATTGTGTCAATTTGATTATAGTGTCAAATAACCATTTTAGTAAAATAACGGTATATTTAATAGGAACAACAGCGACTCATATTAGATTAAATTTGACTGTATAGTATAATCAAATATAGTCGATTAATTCAAAGAATAAAGTAAATTCTCGAGGATAGTAAAACCAGTCATCAAAACAGTAAATTGAAGTTTCATGTCTCAAACATCAACGAATAAATGAAAATTAATTAAATAGTGTCAATATATTATGAATGAAATTTTTAAGATATTAATTAAACTAGAGAGAGAGAGAGAGAGAGAGAGAGAGAGAGAGAGAGAGAGAGAGAGAGAGAGAGAG